GGGACCAGGGGATGAAGGGACCAGGACAAAGGGAGCAAAGGACCAAGCGATCAGGGAACCAGCAGGCCAGGACCAAAGGAGTAGAGGGAATTTTCTTGTTGATACGAAATAATGTTTTTTGATAGGACACAATTTTTTGGGATAGGAATCAATTTTCTTTTTGATAGGTATCCCCCGGACTGAGCGCCTCAACGATCTGTAGCTCTCCATCCTGCTCCGGTGCTCCTGACCCAGCTCCACTCGGGAAGGGAACCAGCCGAGTAAGGAAGGATCCCAAGGAAAGCGCGAAAACCGGGGCGAAGAACGCGAGTAGCTGCCCATCTTCCAAGGTCACGCGTAAACCGCCGCTGATGGCGCGGCCGGGTATCCTGGGCCTGGGGTATCCTGCAGGTTGGGCGGCGCAAGCTAGTTGCATGCTTTGTCATGGGGCCAGTGGTTAAGCCCCAAAAGTTTGGTGAACCCTTCCAAACTCAGGTGAAACACGGCAAGTGCCCCAAAAACAACGTCAAAGACTGGAAACTACATCTGTCCCACTGCCTCCCGCTGCTATGCTAAGGCGCTGGGAGCACCAAAGGGCCCACGATGACTCGAAAGCAGCTTTCAAAACCATTCACTCAGACTTATTTCTGCACGCACAAATCCATCAAGCTCTGGCTATAGAAGGCATACACCCCAAGCTTGGGTTACACTTGGAGTCCTCCAAGATTCTTCAATTCTGATATATACATTCTGATGATTTATTATGAACACTAGGTCGGCCCACCCCTTCTCACGCCCAGAATCACCCAACCCTTCGCCCAAATCCCTTCGCCCTCCTGGCTTCCAGCGGTGGACCTGGCCCACTTCGGAACCGAAATGTTCCCCTTTCCAACCTCCAGGAAGCCCAAAGCTTCTAGTTCCCATGAGCTCACTTCGCTTCGCGAAACGCGTTTCACCACGTTGGAGAGAAGCTCACCCGGGTGAATGACAACTCCACTTGTTTGTGTCCATATCTGGGCCCCTGGGCACCTGGCATGGGATGACATACATGCATGGGAGCTGAGGGAGAAGCTGAGGAAAGCCATGCATTTCTGACTCTTCTTGTCCAACAATGCCCTGCGCGAGGCTGACGGAGCTTGACTTTTGAGTATCTTGCTTCAAAGAACACCAGGTCATGTTGCCTAGCACTGGGTGGTTTTCACCAACCTTGTCCCATCTCCACCGCCTCTGCTCCAGCTGCAGGAAGTCCAATCGCTCCGAGGTTAACTTGCGCCCGGCCTCGAGGCTAGCGGCTAGCGGCTTCGGTCGGCTGCGTGTGGCGAAGGAACTGATTCTTCACCTACTACCCGGCAGGTCAGTTCAACAATGAGAATCATCACGGAATCTGAACATGGATCGCTATCCGATCCCTTCTGGATCAAAATCCCGGGTCCAAAAAAAAGGTTTTTCTAACAAACAGGTGTGAACTATAAGTTCTATAGATGGTTCTAGGTAGTCGTTATTTAGCCTTACCCAGGTCCAGATGTGCCCGACCTGGATATCTGTTCGGGTGGACCCGGAACGAACACCTCTCGTGTTTCCGCAGTTCGTCGTCACGGGGTTCTGGGCACCCGGACGCTCAAACCTGAGGACCCGCGCTGTTGGAAGGCGCTGAGTTAGCGCTGGATGAACAAGTAAGTGAAGCAGAAAACAACGCCAAAACGTGTGTTGATGCCTTGGTTTGTGTTGCTTCACCACAACAATAAAGTTGCTTCAACATGCTTAAGGCCGAATATATAATGCCAGGCGAAGAAACATGCCAGGCATGTCAGGATTGCTGCGGGCCAAGTCAGCTTCATTGGCCTCCGGGCGTGTGATGGGCAGGGTGCGTGTGATGGGCGTGGCATGTGAACATCGATTTGGTAAGCTGAGCTAAAGTTACCGTCATCTTACATGTTGAAATGATAGTAGTACACGAATCCAGGAAGAGAAGAAGCATCGCGTGAATGCACCCTGGCATGGCATGCACAATCCACCCAAGACCAACGGCTGTTAGCACCCAATGGCACCGTTTTCCTTAGCTGGCACTAACACGGCAATGCGAAGAAACATCAACCTGCTCAAATTCCGACACTGAAAGGGCACTGGGTCACCAAGAATTCCTCCAAAATCCTGCCGGAAATCAATGAATCTTATGGCAGGATGCGGAACGCACCGCAATGCTTCCAGAAGACTGGCCAGATTGGAACTCCGGGGCACTTCGTTTCGAGATTGCGCGACTACTCCCATCTCTCTTTGGATCATATAGTTGTCCGGTCTCATCTTGCCCCGGGAGTTTGAAGCAGCTTCAGCTTGGGAAGACAGT